CTCTTGAAGCGCCGGGCGGCCGGAGCGCTACCGGCTTCGGGCAGCCCCCTTGCCTCCGGACCCTGCGCCGCCGGAGCCCGGGAGGGGAAGTGCCCGGCCCTCATTTTCCTGGACATGTTCGGCTTTTTGGCAATTCCCCCTAGACGGGGGTTTGATTGCCGAAAAGCCGGACATGTCCGGGAAAAACTGGACATATGGTAACCCTACACAAGGTGGATGAGAGGTTTCAGAGTGGCAGCCGTGTTAGTCTGTTTCAGCAAAAAGAACGGGAGTCCTTGTGGTACCTTAGAGACTAACACATTTATTTGAGCGTAAGCTTTCGTGGGCTAGAACTCCTCCACTCTAGGCGTTCTGTCCTGCCGGGACTCGCTCTTTGTTTTGGATAGAACAATAAAGCTCTTCTCCTTTTGTCCTCCAAGGCCCTTCCGGGACCTAGGGCGTCTGCACAAGGTTTTCCACTGGCTGAATTAGCCAGTCCTCTCCGAGGCCGCCTCACGCAGAGCATTCGCTGGCGTCCCAGCCTTTGAACTGTGATGCATTGTAACTGGTTTTGAATTGCAACCCTTGAATCCCGCTCTGCAAATGCAAACCACTTTTCACTGAGGGCGGGGCTCCCACTCCCAGCCTTCCAACTCTGATGGTTAATGGGAACATTTGTTACCTCACTGGCTGGCTTCTCTACAGAATGTGGTTGCACCTTTTCCCGTGAAAAGACTCAAGCTTCCATCATGCCATAAAGGCCAGCGTTGTACCCCGGGGTCGAGCCCAGGACTAGGGGCAGGAGAGTTGGGGGTCTGCAGCTGGCTCTGCAGCTGGCTTGCTGAGACACCTTGCACAAGTCACTGTAATAAAGACAATCCCCCCCCCTTCCCCTGGAGAGTGCTGGATGAGTGCTTCAATAAGAGATTCCTGGAGTGTGGCACTCAGAGGGAAGCAGGTACGCCAGAGTGCTGGGATGGTGCTTGTTCCCCTTTGGTAGCCAGACTCCAGGGCTCTGCAGGGTGGCTCCTGTCTGGATGAGAAATCACTGATGCTGACTCAAGGAATTTTCTTAGCGTAACTTGTTTGACGCTGTGCACGCCCGTCCTGTTTCCTTGCCTGGCAGCGGGGACAAGCTGCGCACAGGCAGGAATCCTTCTCGGGCCCGTGAGCCTCTGCTCCGTCCTCCCCCGCTGCAGTTGCTTAGCCCCTGCGTCTGGAACCTGGAAATACTCCTCTCCTGGGGCCACGTGGCCTCCTGAGGGGAGCCTGGGCCAGTAACCTACCCAGCTCTCGGGGTGGCTGCCAGCAGTGCATCCCCTCTTTCTAGGGAGAAGTTTTCCCTGGGTCTATCTCAGTGACCCTTAACAGGCAGACCCCCTTCCATACCTCTGCTGCTTCGAGCCCCTCGCAGCAGATCATACTCTGCAACCGGGAATCCGAGCCTACTCTGCGGAGCGCTTGCTCCTGAAAACTGCTCCCAAGCAGCATTCGGCTCCCAAAATGGGACCCGTGCTGGAATTTACTGTGAGCAAAACTACCGGTGGGCTGAAGTGACGCCTTTCTGAGGGCCGCTTCCCTTCATCTCCGTGCTTGGGTGCTGCTGTCTGCGTCGGTGCATGGTTGGGAAAGACGCAGTGTCACTAGGTGACTAAAGCCATTTCTGACGGCTCTAACCCATGCAATGGAATCATAACTGGGCCGTTATTTACAGCAGGGGGGTCTCAAATGGGGGGTCAGGACCCCTGAGGGGGTCGCGAGGTTATTACATGGGGGGGTCACAAGCTGTCAGCTTCCCCCAAACCCTGCCTTGCCTCCAGCATTTATAATAGTATTGAGTCTATAAAAAAGTGTTTTTAATTTATATGCGGGGGTCGCACTCGGAGGCTTGCTGTGGGAGGGGGTCACCAGTACACAAGTTTGAGAACCCCTGATTTACAGTAAACAACCATTCCCAGACTCAACGCAGAAACAATCCCACAAACAAAAGTCTGTTTGTCCAGGAGCCTTTTAACAGTCTCTTCCCCCCTCCCCCCAACTCATGTGACACCCAACTCATGCATCTTCCTCCCCCAGAGCCTTCCCTTGAAACCCCCGGGCCGGGGTTTTTCCCCCAACGGGGCGAAGTGGGGAAGTGCACAACCCAACTGGGTCCTGGCTCTTCTGTCAAGCACAGCAAGAATCTGGGTGAACCCAAGCTCTGCAGTGGCTGGCTTGGTGGGTGGCCGTGGACTCCCTGGTTTCACTGACAATTGGATTCTCATGCTGGGGCCTGACCTGGTTCCCAATAGCCATGGGCCAGATCCTGCTCCCCTTTCTCACTGAGCCAGGGGAGCTACTCCGGGAGAGCGAGGGCGGGAGAACTGAGCCCTGCTCGAAGGGGCTTAGGTCTTTGTTGTCTTTCAAAGCGAACTCTTACAAAGCACTTGGCGGAGTGATGGTGTCAGTCCAGGACTGCCTGAGCTGCCTTCTAAGGGCGTTTGGGTCTGGGCCTCCTTTAGCTTCTAGGCCTGTCTCCAGACAAGTGCGGTGACCCCGCAGAGCCCATAGGATGGACGTTCTGGGGATACTGACTTGCAGGCCATGGTAAGGGTAGAGAAGTGGTAACAGGAACTCCCCTGAGATCTGGGTGCTGCCCCTGCAGCTGATCAGCTTCCAGTGCAGAACGCTGACTGATCCCTCCGCACCTGCCAAAGTCAGGCAGAGCCACCGCTCCCCTAAGGAAAATGCCCCGTTCCCAGGTGAGCCGAGGACAGACGGATCCAGGGCTGGTGGCAGAGGCCTTCAGGGGCGGTCAGTCCATTCAGTGCGTGCGGAGACCGTCACTTGTGTGAAGGCCTGGTCTGCTCACGCACCGCACCGGCACTGGTTTAACGAAAGGCGAGATGGGTTAAATGGGTGCATCAGTGGGTGGATGTCCCGACCCCCAGTTTGAGAACCAATGGATTAGGTGTTAAGAGACGGAGAAACATTTCCCATTGTACATTGCTCATGAGAAGCAAACAAAACCACTTCCACGGGCGTGGGACTCATGCTACGGTAAGTGTGGACAGAGGAGAGCATTGCATGCGTTTCCGCTGTGCCCTCTGGGGCTGGTGGATGGGACAGTGAACGTAGCACTTTTACACGCCCTAGGAGCGGTTCTGTGGTCAAAGTCCTGTTTAAAACCAG